ATTGCAACATAAATAGTTGCTTGTTTCTGTAAAAGCCTTTTTATAGACAAGAAAAAAATCTTGAAAGTTGATAAACTCCATAATTCCACACTTCTGAAAGCCACATCACTAATGCTACACATAAAAAATGATACAAGCATATGCTTTTTTTACTGATAAAATATGAAAGTTGATAATTTGCTGGTCCAAGAAAGTCATAAAAGTAGAAATTGATATTCATTAAAGCGATAAAATTATAATTTTCATGTTCATATAATAAAGGATACAAAAATCTACAATAAAATCATAGCTATTTTCAGTATTAAAACCAACAATACTGCATTCTGTATATATATCAGAACTAATACAGAGTTGAGAAATTTCTTTGTTATGATGATTATACATATTACTTATATCTATGTTAATATTATTTTCATTCTTTTCCACTAGAAAATCTAAAAAATGTAAACTTTTTGTTTGAATATATAATTTCGATTGCTTTATATTTCTTTCATCCTTTTTTCCAAGTTTGACATCGAATATTTAGTTAATCATATTTTTTTTTTTTAAATACACTGGCTTAAATGTTCAAGGTAGCAAGAATCTGATGACAATATATCTTAATAACATTTTTTTATTGCACTTTTATACGCATTTTCTTCAGAATTAGTTTCTATATATAAGAATAAGTTTCTATATATTTTGTTTGTCCACATTTTGATCCAAAAAAGCTTTGCCAAAAGTTTATCAAATATGTTTTTAGAACTGCAAACTGTACCCTTTAAAACTTTCCACTTATTAGCTGTTTGTAATTGTAACATTTCCTTTATTCTTAGCAGGTGTTTTAGATCCTGATTTCCTTTTAAAATAAATAATTTTATTTTAACTATTTTCATCCATTTTATGATTACTTTTATACTTTTTATATAATTTTAATTCAAAAAATATTTTCTAAAAAATATTAAACTAAAACAATTTTATTTTGGTTTAATCCTCCAGAATTGATTTTGGGAGGTCCAAATATCATTTTTTCCAAAAGTAGACAATCACAGATTGTTGATCGGGCCCTATTTCGAGCACTGATATCGCTCTCCTTCATCTCACAACAGTACTCTTTTAGATGTTATTTCTGATCAAACTGTTCAAAGCCTTTCTCTTCATCATTCAGCCAATATCGTTGTTGTTGGTGACTTTAATGCTCATCACAATGAATGGCTTGGTTTTAGTGTCTCTGCAGGCATTAAGACCTACAACTTTTGCCTTTCCCAATCTCTAAAACAAATAGTTAACTTTCCAACTCTCTTTCCAGAGAATCCGAATCATTTACCTTCTCTACTTAACTTATGTCTTGTTTCTGATCCTAATCAGTGCTCAGTTTCTTCACATTCACTCTTAGGTGTTTCTGATCACAGTTTTATCTCTCTAAAACTAATAAATCATTCTTCTACAACCATTATGCTGACTGGGATTCTTTCTGTGATTTTCTTCGTGACGACCTTTTACTATGCATTAGATAGATGTGAAAAGGCTAAGGCTATGCTCTCAACATTTCTAAAGCCTTTGATAAAGTTTGGCATGCTGGTCTTCTCCATAAGCTCTCTTCTTATGGTAATATCTTCTTATGGTAATATCAGGTAATATCTTTAAGATTTTTGAATCCTTTCTCAGCAATCATAGTATAAAAGATTTTTGAATACTTCCTTAGCAATCATAGTATAAAAGTTATCCTCAATGGACAGCACTCTTCTTCATATCCTGTCACTTCAGGGGTTCCACAAGGTTCTACCCTTGGCCTATTTTTTTGTACTTCTGCTACAGCATGGGGTTCTCAGTGGCTCTCTTGTTGTACTTTTTTTTCAGCTAATCGCTATGGCAATGATCTTCCTATATTTATGAACGATAATGTACTCGATCAGTCATCTACCCTTCATTTTCTAGGATTAACTCTTACTTCTGATCTTTCTTGGAAACCATATATCAAATATATTGCAAAGTTAGCATTTGCCAAGGTTGCATCTCTTTATCGTGCTTTCTTACTCTGGATTCTGGTCTTTATCTCTATAAATCTCAAATCCAGCCTTGTATGGAATACTGCTTCTATATCTTTGGCAGATCTTCAAATGATGCCCTTTCTCTTTTATACAAGGTGCAAAAACGTATTGTAAACATGGTTAGACCTGCTCTTGCAGCCAACCTCCAAACATTATCACACCGCCATAATGTTGTTTCTCTTTCCTTTTTCTATAGTATAAATACTATAATGGGCACTGCTCTAAAGAGCTAGCAGTTCTTGTGCCATCTACTAAAATTTATTCTCATCTTACTTGTCATTCAATAAAGTCTCATCCTTTTATTGTGACTGTTCCTAAGTGCTCCAAAAATTCTAATTTATCCAGTTTTTTTTCCTCAAACATCAGTTCTTTGGAATCAAATACTAGGAGGCTATAATCAGGAAGGTCACAGGACAATATTCAGAGTGTACAGGAAAGCATTTAAGAAGAGACTTAGGTGTTAGTTTGAAGGCAGTCCCAACAGCTTGGATTATCTCAAACTTCACTCCAGAGGATTCAAAGGATTCTGAAACTTATTCTGTATAAGATACAGGTAGTGCAGAAACTGGTTTCAGCTGAATATTGGGCATATTAGTGTATGCTATCCATTTCCAAGAAATGTCAAGGCAGGAACCTGAGTCCATTAACAACCTTATTATGGGCGACGAGACCCACTTCCACCTTAATGGTTATGCTATAAATCAAAATATGAAATTGGGATACAGAAAATCAATGTTGTCTACAACCTGTAAAAGTAACGATTTCATGTGGTGTACACATGGAAAAAGTTCTTAGACCTTATTTCTTTAAAGATGATGCAGAAAACACAATAACTACTAATGGTGAATGGCATAAAGAAATGATAGAGAGTTTCATCTGTCCTGCAGACAAGAACACACCAGATATGGTGACAGTAATATGGTGCTACTATCCATACATCTCGCCCAACAATGAAACTTTGGAAAAAGAATAATTTCACAAAATTCTAAAAGCAACTGGCTTTCATGCTCGCCTGACTTAACAGCTCTATACTTCTTTCTATGATGGAGATAATGTATACCACAAGAAGCCTAGGACTATTCAACAATTGAAGGCCAATGTTTGTGAAGAACTTGAAAACATAAACCAAGAAACATTACAACAGGTGATGGTTCACTACCTAGATGAGTGCCTCAGCATGAAGAGCAAAATATTTTTTAAATGTTAATTTCAAAATCAAATAAAATTTTCAGTTTAAAATGATAAATTGAGAAAAAATAAAAGTTACTTCTATTTTAAGAGGCTATTCAAAAAATCATCAGTAGTAGTGTTTTGGTATTGTTGCAAGATTTTTGTGTTAAAAACAAAAATAATTTAAATTGCATATTGTTGCTATGAGTAACTATTGAGATGGATTCAATTCTAATAATACACAGGAAATATCAACTAAAAGTATCATGTTTTAGTTTGTGCAGATGCTTTTCATATGATAACAAAAAACTTTAATTGTTAAGCTCAAGGAAGACAAAAAATTGGAAAAAACATTGACATGGTTGTCAAATCTATCAGTTGATAGGCCAGTTCTGCAACTAAAAGTATGTATGTTTATTCGCAATCTTAAATTGTTAATTTAACCAGTATATGTGGTTTGTTTTTTACATGCCAAACATTTAAGGTAATAAATTATATTTTTGCTGTTGCATGTGATGTGACTTTTTATTATCCAAATAGTACCATTAGATGTTTTAAACTCACCTACTTCTTGAAGGTAGAGTTCGCATATTTTACACCAAACGTCTTTGCATTTAAATATGTTAATCTTTTTATTATTTGCTTCAACTTTTGAAGAAGTCTTCTTAGTAAGTTAGGAGGTTTTTTAAAAGCTTATATTGGATGAATATTAGAAAAAACATTTTTGATTCTTTCATTATAAAATACTTTGAGTAAAAGGTTAGCTCCTGAGATTAAAGGTTGACAATTGGGATTGCTATAGAATGTTGTCACTAAAAGAAATATTTCTTTAAATTTCTTTTGTGGTGCTGATCCTTGTAGTTTTGCATTATGGAATGCTTTATCTATAATTCCATTAGGATATTTACAATCTTTCAACCATGATTTTAGTTCTGTTGGACGAAATTTTTCAATTTCGTAATTAGATGTAAAAACAATTATTCTTTTAGCTAAGTTATAAGGAATATTCTTTTTAATGTGAAATCGATGACTGTTATAGTTTAAGTACTCACAAGTATTTCTTTATAATAAATGTCTGTTTGAACTTTTTAGTTATTTTCAATAATAATTGTGATGTATAAAAAGTTAATTGCACTGTAGGTGTTATCATTTTTAGAAAACCCCTAGCCAAAATCAGTTGTAAAATCAATTGAGTCTTTTTATTTTGTAAGAGAAATTTCAAACTTTCTGATGACAATATGTTTTAGCCAGATTATAAAACCATCATCAATATGTCTAAAATAAAATTTCTCTATATCATTTACTTCACAGTAAGAAAAATACTGAGATAGGATTATTGGAAAAAGCTTAGTCTCTTCTAGAAACCTGATAGTGAGACAAGCATAATCTGCTGCGAAATCTGTACCTATGGCTGCACCAGGTGTTTGGTGAAATAATTATTTATCAAATATGAAACTATTGTTATTTAAAATAAAAGATGCTGACTCAATTATGAATTCAGGAGTAAATCTTTTAGCTATCAATTCAGATAAAAGATATATATATAAAAGATTTTTATATATAATATTATATATATAAAACAATTGTCATTATATATATATATATATATATATATATATATATATATATATATATATATATATATATATATATATATATATATATATATATATATATATATATATATATATATATATATATATATATATATATATATATATATATATATATATATATATATATATATATAACAATAAATATATTCCTGGTTTTCTTTATCTAACTAATAAATTAAGCTACCTTCTCACTTTTTTCACGCACCGAAGTCACAATGTCTTTTGTATTGCGTGAAACACCAGTATTAATAATAAGGACTTTCATATCAATTCCACTATAAACAGACATAATTAGTCTTTAAATAAGTATATAGTCAATAGTATGTTATAGTGCCAAACACAATGGCCTCAATGAATAACGTATCTGAATAGTTCAACTATAAAAAACTAGAAGATTTAAAAAATATATATAAATGTTAAAGAATTTTAAACTTACCAATGAATTCTATTAATTTCACCAGATTTAAAACTAATGCAGTCACCTTTATTAAAAGCTATATCATTATTATCATTATATAAGATATATATAAATAAATATATAAATATATAAATATATATATATATATATATATATATATATATATATATATATATATATATATATATATATATATATATATATATACAGGCCTTGTTTTAAAGCGTTACGCCTAGAGCGATTTACGTACGCCTAGAGCGATTTTTACGTACGCGTAGAGCTGTTTTGGTTAAGCTACTTTTTATCATTTTTTAACTTTTAAATTAGCGGTAACATAAAAGAAGTAATTAATTTTTAAAAAAACCACATTAACTTTTGAATAACGATATGTAAAAATATTTATTAGAAAAAAAATATTACATTAAAAATAATTAAATAACTTTTTATCGCGACATATTATACGTTTTTATAACATTTAATTTTACGCTTAACTTTTTATTCAAATATTTAGTAACATGAAAAATTGTTCGCCAATCCTTAACTACAAATTTTTTGCAAATGTTTTTAATAAAAAGTAGTAACTTTTTAAAGTTTTCAGTAAAAAACTTTTAAAAAATCTATATTCCAAACTTATTAATACAGAATATAAATGTTTTTTGTAATATAAATTTTTTAAGAGTTTTTTACTAAATTCATATTAAAAAACATTTGCAAAAAATTTGTAATTAAGGGTTGACATTTTTTTAATATATCAAAAAACGTCTCAATATTTTTGTTATCATGATAACAAAAATATCAAGACATTTTTTCAAGATATTAAAAAAAATGTGCCAATGAATGAACAATCTATTTGTATTTTTCTAAAAATTACTTCATCAATTTCTTTGCTTTTCTTATTAGTTAAAGGTATATAGATACCTTTGCTTTTAAGTTATGCAGGGGGAGGGGGCCAGCACAGAAAAAAAAAAGTTACCTGTTACTCGTAAATTTTGAATGAAGACAATTTGTTAAATTTCTTCTGTGTGCGATTAAATAAATTTTTTTCATAGATCAAGTTATATTATAAGGTAAAGAAATCACGAGTAGACTATAACATCCGCTGATGACACTAATATTACGTTGAATATATTTATATAATGGAGGTTTCATTATGCACGCGCACATTACAGATTCCGTTAAATAAATACTAAGGCAAGCTTTAGTTTAATGACAGTCTCTATTTTTTATTAATGAACATGTATTTTTCTTTATAAAACAAGACAAACTAGTATATAAAAACCTTTTATATTTCTATTCTCTCTAATTGTTTAAAGTTCGAATATGGATTGTATTTTGAAGCACAAAAGATTTCCTTTAAAAACTTTTAAATCTTGGGACTTTGCCGATGCTTTCCCGATGCGATGATCACAAAAAAAGAGAAAACTTACGGTATTAAAATCAAATGTAAGTTATGTGATCTTCATCAAAATAAAACATCCAAAAAACAATGGTGCCGTAAGGGCAGCTGCCCTACGGTTTATAAATAACACAAGTCATGTTAAAATATTTTAATACGTTACTATATTTAGTTTAAGTTGATATATAAATAAAAATAAAAATATAGTTTAATAAATAAATTAAATTTGTTCTTAACAAAGATTACCTCATATTTATTCTTTTTTTATTTTATTAAGTTAAATTGCTTACAAGCGAAGAAAAAAAAAGAACTTTTTTTTTGTAATTATACGTAGAATGAAAATACTTTTGAGTTTGTTTATAAGTTAAGGAACTTAATTTTTAATAAACAACTTTTTACGAACGTTTATTATAAACAGATACGATTCAAATTATTAAATAAATATACTTATATTATTTTAGTTGAGTATTTTTTTAAGTTTGCACGATTAAAGTTTTGCGAAGAAGTATTTGTTTTTTGTTTTAAGAATAATTAACAAAAGAGTTTGCATAATTAAGACTTTTATATTTAATTTTTTTTTAATTTCCTAAAATTTAAAAAAAAAAGATTTAATCGTTAAAAACGATATTTCTCTATAACTCTGTTTCTTTGTGATTTGTTTAAAATGTAAAACATTTTTACAATAACATAAAAAATTTATGAATTAAATTCCTAGCGAACGCGTTCTAAACTATGTATCAAAAATATGCTAAAAGCAGACAAAACGTTTTTATATTTTTATATAACGCAAGTTGAAAGGCTAAGCAAGATAAATTTAAAAAAATATTCTTTCCTAAATTATTCTTTGCTAGTCAAAACAAAATCGCTGTTTAAATGATTAACATAGGTTTTTATTTATCGATGTTAATATTTATTGTTTACTCCAGAAATTTTTTAAAATAAAAAAAAATCATTATTTTTTATTCAATAACGATTTATAAACAATAATTATTCAAAAACAAATTTCAGAAATAATTAAAATCTATATATATATATATATATTTTTTTTACTAAATAATATTGAACTAAAATGAATAATAAGATAACAATTGAAAACATTTTATTATAAATTTAAATTTAAAACGTTTATAGTTATTTGAGTTAATTGTAAAATGATCTAGTTAGCGGTTATATATTTATTGCGGTAGTTAAAACACTTAACGTCTATAAAAAAAAATAAAGATAATTTTATGACGTTAAATATCGCGTTAAGCTAATGCATTAAGCACTTTTTTATTTAAAACAAGGCCTATATATATATATATATATATATATATATATATATATATATATATATATATATATATATATATATATATATATATATATATATATATATATATATATATATATATATATATATATATATATATATTAAAATAAATTTCTTTTTTTGGATTTAACTCAAATTGTTGAAAATATATTTATTTTACGATATTTAATTTTACAAAAAATTATTATAAAAATATCTACCCAAGTGACACCATTCCACCATACTTATATGGGGTAATTAAAGTGCATAAGCTTGTAAAAAGCTACTTAATACGGTTAATTGTAAACACCATCAGTACACCTATATTTAGCATTTCTTTAGCATTTCTTTTATTGTAGATATTGAAGATTGTAGTTATATATCATAAAAGATTGCATCAGATTATTAAGAAATACTTGAAAAACTGCAACAACAACAAAAAATAAAAATCGAGCTCACCAAAGATGCTAACTGCATTATCAATACCAGACGGATTACCATGAATTATCTTCTCACATAAATATGCCCACTTATTGATCAACATAATATCCTTTTCTACCCAATAATTTTCACTAATGAGATTGCAATATACTAATAAAGATGAAGCAACTGCAACTGCTAAAGCAGCTGACGAACCCAAGCCACAGCCAATAGGCAACGTTGATGTTATAAAAACTTTCATCCCAACATTACTAAACACAAAATAAAAAATAAACAGAGATATAACTATTCAATTTGCTAATTTTTTAAACTACTTTTATTATGTTTCAGCATACAAAAGATTCAAAGAGGTTTTTAAAAACAAACTTTTTTTTAATCATTTATTGTTATTACATTTCATGTTCATGATTCTAAAACATAAACCTTGACAAACAAGGCAACATTTGTGCGGATAAACAAGTTGAGTGTGGTACAACCAGGGACATAGTGGGGTTTGGATTTTTAACATTGCTATTGGTCTAATTGGCAGAGCAAGTGCTCCACCACTACTGCATGATTGTGGTATATTGTAGTAAACTCTGGCGTATTGTAGTACAGTGCTTCAAGATCATCTCAAAACTATTTGTTTTTAAAGTACTTTCTTGAATATGAAAACTAACTTGATGATTATCAGCGCTCGAAATAATGGCTGATCAACAATCAATGATCGGCCATTATTTAAGGGAAAATAACCTGTTTTTGTGAAAAAATTACATTTGATCGACAAGTTTTGAAAAACTATTTTGAGCGCTGGATTATACTTGTTACCCTCAAAAAAGACCTGCCTTGTTTCTTGATATAAATAGAGGTGGTTCATTATCGTAGATCATCAAGTAGTGATCATTAGTAACCAAAATTCAGTTTTAGTGAAACAGAAGTTTCACCAAAACCAAAATTTAAATAAAATTCAACTTGGGTTAAATAAAATTTCACTTGGGTTGAATAAAACTCATCTTGGGTTGAATAAAATTCAACTTGGGTTGAATAAAATTCAACTTGGGTTGAATAAAATTCAACTTGGGTTGAATAAAATTTAACTTGGGTTGAATTAAATTCAACTTGGGTTGAATTAAATTCAATTTGAGTTGAATAAAATTCAACTTGGGTTGAATTAAATTCAACTTGGGTTGAATTAAATTCAACTTGGGTTGAATTAAATTCAACTTGAATTGAATTAAATTTAACTTGGGTTGAATTAAATTCAACTTGGGTTGAATTAAATTCAACTTGGGTTGAATTAAATTCAACTTGGGTTGAATTAAATTCAACTTGGGTTGAATTAAATTCAACTTGGGTTGAATTAAATTCAACTTGGGTTGAATTAAATTCAACTTGGGTTGAATTAAATTCAACTTGGGTTGAATTAAATTCAACTTGGGTTGAATTAAATTCAACTTGGGTTGAATTAAATTCAACTTGGGTTGAATTAAATTCAACTTGGGTTGAATTAAATTCAACTTGGGTTGAATTAAATTCAACTTGGGTTGAATTAAATTCAACTTGGGTTGAATTAAATTCAACTTGGGTTGAATTAAATTCAACTTGGGTTGAATTAAATTCAACTTGGGTTGAATTAAATTCAACTTGGGTTGAATTAAATTCAACTTGGGTTGAATTAAATTCAACTTGGGTTGAATTAAATTCAACTTGGGTTGAATTAAATTCAACTTGGGTTGAATTAAATTCAACTTGGGTTGAATTAAATTCGATGGAACATAAATTGAATAAAATTCAACTTGGGTGGAATAATATTTAACTTGGGTTGATTAAAATACAACTTGGGTTGAATAAAATGTCCAAAACAACCAAAAATTAAAAAAAAAGACTATAAGCTTCAGCAAAACAAAAAAAATCTTAATAATAATTTATTTTTTCAAATTTTTATCTATTGGATAATATTTTTTGGCAAAAATAACTTATCTTTTTATGCATAAATCTATTTTTTTTCTTTAGACAAAATATCTAGTGTAGTTTTAAATCCTTCTGCATTAGTTAATAAAATACTAGCAAATTTTAATTTTCAGAAAACTTCAAATTACAGTCTCTAGTTTACTTAACAAAAAAAAACATAAAAAAAAATAAAAAACATAAGTATAAACTTTCTATCAACATGTTTTTATGATTTTGGAGTTTTTTTAAGTATTTTGAAGTTAAGGGTCAAGAGAGTTGCAAACAAAATAAAATAAAAATATATTAAAAAAAAAAAAAGGAAGGTAATTTTTTTAATAATAAAAAAAACCAAACTGTTTACATAACATAATTACATAACAACAATAATAATAATAACAATAATATATATATTCTGAAATAAAAGTTTTTATTTCATGGTTGTTTACTAATAGTGCAAGTACTAATCTAAGGTAAGCACCAATTAAATAATAATAGCAATCATATAATAATAATAATGTAAATTAAATGAAGATGATTATAATAATATCAATAATACTATTAAATATAATAATGACAATAATAATGATTATATTAGTAATTAAAATAACAACAACAACAATAATAACAATAATAACAATAGCAATAATAGCAATAATAACAATAATAATAATATTAACAAATATCACATTTATATATTAAACAATTTTAATAAGTAATAATGACGGTAATAAAAATGTAAATAAAATGTATGTAATATTAACATCACATATGATAATAATACTAATAACATTAGTAATAATAATCTATTATAAGCCTAAGATTTTAATTAGAGTATTTTTCTATCAAAAAGTCAAAAAGACGGGTTTTAAATTGTGAAAAAGAGTTGAAGGATTGAAAATGAAAAGGTAAATTATTCCAAGATTTTATGCATTTGTAATAGAATTATCACCGCATTTTACCGAACAGCGATTTGGGATAGATAATTTAAAGTTACTCAAAGATCGAAGGTAATAACGAGAACTTTTTTAGTGGTAAAAAAATTGGAGAATGACGGAGGAAGGTTTACTTGTTTATGATTCCAGACAAATAGACAATTTAATAAATAAACAAGATCACATAATTTGAGTATTTTTGATAGAAAGTAAAGGATGTCAGAATTAAAATGATACTGTTGAAAGAATATTATTTTTAATTTTTTTAATGATTTGTTTGTTATGAGTAAGTTGGTGTCGTCAGCAAAATGGTAAGCCATTGAAAATTTTAGAGAGATATTAAGATCATTTATAAAAATAAGGAAAAGCAATGGTCCTAATACAGAACCTTGTGATACACTCGTGGAGCATTTTATTGGAAAAGATTTGGCATCATTGATGGAGACAAATTGCAATCTATCAAAAAGATATGATGAAAACCATTGCAGAGTATTACCTCGAACATCGTAGTGTTCTAATATACTTAAGAGGATGGAGTGGTCAACAGAATCAAAGGCTTTCTCTAAGTCAAGAAACACTCTGCATGCAAAAAGTTTATTGTCAAGAGCATTTCTAATAGTCTCAGTTATTTTAATAAGTGCATGAGTTGTGGAGTGTTTGTTACGAAATCCATACTGATGTTTGTAAAGACATTGGTTTTTGTCAAGAAAGCTATAAAGTCTGTTGTACATGGCTTTTTCAAATATTTTGCTAATGTTAGATAGAAGAGATATTGGTCGATAATTTCTGTGGTCCATTAGAGAACCCTTTTTATGGATAGGAATAACTTTGGCTATTAGAAACATCTGGAAAAAGACCTTTATTAAAAGAATTATTCAATATTGTACAGAGAGGCTTGCAAATAACATGAGAAGTAAGTTTAAGAAGGTGTGTGGGGATACTATTTGGTCCTAAACTTTTACCATTTTGTAAACTATTTTTTATTAAATCAGACACTTCATTTTCAGTCACTGGATTAAGAAAGAAAGAATTAGAATTAGCATTTTTTAAATAGTCAGAAAAGATACTTTTAGAAGAAATCATTTTATTTTTGGGTGGGTGTTGTTTCATAGTATTTGATTAAAAATCATCATTAAAAATGTTAGCAACAGCCATACTGTCTGAGATAGTGTTTCCATTAGACTTGAGAGTGTAAGATTTAATTGGTGTAGAGGGTTTGATGCTAATAATTTTTTTTATTTCTTTCCATGTATTTTTTGTATTGCTGAGGTTTTTGTTAAAAAAGGAGATGTAGTATGACTTTTTGGAAATTCTTAATAAATTGCTAATTTTATTCCTGTACAATTTAAATTTATTGAATAGTTGACTTTTTGTGTTGGAATTTTTAGATTTTATATACTTTTTGTAGAGCTTATTTTTAATTGCTATTGACTTCAGAACTCCATTAGTGATCTAAGGTTTAGATATGAGTTTAACTTGATTTTTGGTCAGTTTGTATGGGGCATGACGATCAAGAATTGTGTTGAATGTATTTAGAAAGAAGTTCATTGATTCATTGACATCATCATCATTTTTGATATAAAACTTCCAGTCAATATTAGAAATATCCTGAATGAATTCATTATCATTGAAATTCTTAAATGATCATTTAGCTGTTATGGATTTTTTTCTTTTGAAAGGAGTACTACTAGGAATGCAAACAAACTGTGCCATGTGATCTAAAATTGATATTGTTACGTTACCAGAAATAAGATTAGGAATTTGAAAATTTAAAAAGATGTTATCAATAATTGTTTTAGATTTACAGGTTACTCGCGTTGGTTGAATTATTGTTGGGTAAAAAGAATAAGAACAAAGTGAGTCAAGGTAATCAGATATAATAAGGGATTCGTTGTAGTTAAGTAAGTCCATGTTAAAGTCACCCATTAACATAACCTGTTTATTTTCAGAACTAAGTTTTTCAAGTAAAGGATTAAAATAATCAGAAATAAATTCCTTTGGGTTCATTGAAGGATGCCGGTATATGCAGCCAACAATGATATTTTTCTTAAAAGGATTGATGATTTCAATAAAGATAGATTCTAGGTATTTTGGGGCATATACTATAAGATCTCTTCTGACATTGTAGTTTAGATTGGATTGTAAGTATAGAAGAGCACCACCTTTTTTAGCTTCAGTAGAGCATTGTTCAATGTTATAACCATTTATAGTAATGTCAGTTATATTGGGATTGTTAATGTACAATTTAGATTCCGAAATTCCAAATACTGTTGGAAGAATGGTAAGTGAACTTATGAGACTGCGAAGTTCATCAATATGAAAATGCAAAGAACCAATGTTTAGATGAAGGTACAATTCAGAATTTGATTTTAAAGTTTTATTGAGATCAA